TAATTAGTGCAGAGATAAAAATTATCGAAAGTCTACAACATAATACACCCTTCGGTCACTATTATAAGCAAACTTAACTTTTTGTGGTACATTTGACTATTAATGTATCTAGTCCATATATAGACTAGATACATTAATACTCAAATGTACCAAAAAGTTAAATTTTCTTATAATAGTGGTCAGAGGGTGTACATCTTTATGTTCGGAGAAAAACCAATCTCACGGTGTTCGAAGAAGGAACTGGTAGTAGCACTTTCTTCTTGTGAGATCGAGTACATTGTCGCTTTATTGTTTGTGTGTCAAACTGTGTGGTTAATGAATTTTTTAAAGGAGTTTGGCAGCAAAGAGGGAGACACAGAAGATGAGAAAAATACACAAGAAGGAGGTTGAATTGTGTATGCCCAGAAATCTCTTTTCACTTTGAACTCTAATACATCAGATTTTGAACCATGTTTAGAGTCTAATGATAAAGTGAGTAACAGAAGTGAAAAGTTAACTTCATTTTCTTAATCTTGTTTCATAACCTAAGGTGTCAAGCTCAGATTCTGATATAAGTAAGAGGCTGAATCATATCAGAGTCTGACTTTAGAGTTTGTTGCACATTGGAATATAGATGAAGAAGTAAATAAAGAGATGCACAATATATTGTGGTTCCTCTCAACTGAGAGTAGTCCAGCCCCCTTGCAACACAAAAGCTTTTAACTATAATCAGACTGATTACAATTTCTTAAGCCATTAGCTTAGGGCTTCCTACTCAATCACCTAGAAAGAGACTTTTTCTCAATCCCTCAAGCAAAAGACTTCTTGGTTAAACCTTTGGCTCAAGACTTCCTAATCAATCTATCTAGAATGAGACTTTCTACTCTGCTCGCAAGCATGAGACTTCAATGCTTAATCTATCAAGATCAAGAATTCCTGGTCTGCTCGCACGCATGAGACTTCAATTCTCAATCATCTGAAAGAGACTTACTCTGAGCACAGTGGCTAAAGTTTTCACTTAACAAAAGAATTTGGCATTTAACAATTGTTAACATGTGTGCTTCTTAGATAAGAAGATACACAAAGGTTTACACTCTTGAGCAGAATGTGAACTGTTTTTTCCTGAGCGTAGAAGAATGAAGTTTTCATTTTTCTTTTCTCTTTGCACAGATTTCCATCTTTTTATGCCTTTCTGTTTTGTTGATCATATTCACATATTCTTTCCTCATAAAATATGTGAATACATGTCACTCAGCTCTCACACACTTAACTCTTCTAGTTATATTGAGTGTGTTTCTATCAACGATGTTTTTATTTGCGAAACACGGTTTCTCTCAACTCATTTATGTGAACTAGTATCACATCTTTGTGAGCACAATTATACATTCTTCAACCAACATTCATTTCATCAAGAGAGATCAAGATCTTGAATTTATGAATGTTTTCAATCTTGCTCTTTAAATAGATGCTGAGGAATAAATTTGTTGAAGATTGAAACTATCCATGGTACAAGAAGTCGTTGAAGGTATTTAGCTAGTGTACAATAGAGTAAGCTAGAAACTCAGCTAGCATAAATGTGTTGAGAGTAGCAAAGCAGAGTTCAAAACGGTTTGAGAGAGAAGATCGTGACAACATTATTTTATGCTGATTAGATATAAAGTAGTGTACCTTTGTCACGTAATCTTTTTTGGATAACTTCTGACTGGAGATTTATTGTAGACGTTTGTTGAAGCTTGCTCATAGTCATCGTTACCTTTATACTTAACTTCCTGAATCAGATGATTTTTATAGAATCAGTTAAAGCATGATCAAAAGGTAAAGTATGTCTTCAGAACCTGATTGGAATGAGACTTTAGAATCTTGAGTTCATAGGTTCTGAGATTGCCTTCATCAGAGTCTTGATCAGAACTAATCTAGATGAACACTTTCAGAGTTAATGACTTAATGTAGACAAAAAAATTTGAAACAATATCTTCAGAATTGTTGATGAAGCTTATTCAGAAGATGCAAAGTTGTTCCTGATAATAGAGTCTGCTTGCTTCAAATGATTCAAATCTTCATAGTTTTTCTTATCTTTTTATTTTAAGTACGCTTAGGTTCAGCATCTGAAAGACCTGAGTTGACTGTTCTGAGTCTTAAAGCTTAGTTCTTATTCTTCAGATTCAGAATAACTTTGCTTCTCTGTAATGGTTCTTTTAAGTGGTTAACTTGATTTATATTAAGGTTAATGTCTTTTGATCCTGCGCACTTGAACAACTATTAGTAAACCCTATTGTTCTTTAAATATTTTGTTATCAACAAAACCTTTTAATGGTATGAACAAATCTTATTATAATAATCATTGTAGCGCTCATGGTTGATAACATTTCTGCTATAAACCTTGCTAAGAACCCAATTGCACCTGGGAGTAGCAAGCATATTGAGATGTGGTTTCGTTACTTGAGAGAACTTGTTAGTGAAGGAAGGTTGAGATTGGGGTATTGTAGAAGTAAAAATCGGGTGACCAATTTGTTGATCAAGGGAGTCGCAATTGATGTATTCAAGAGATTGAAGAAGTTAATGAGAATGGAAAACTTGAAGGACTGAAATTAAGACATTGTGTTAAAAATAAAAGATAATTCGAGTCAGTGCAACAAGTTGCACCCCATTGTAAAATGTCAAACAATTACAGTATTACACCTGGAATCTTTTTTATTAAAACTGAAAGAGAAGAAAGGTGCAACCAATTACACATGAAACTTTTAATTTTATTTTTAGTTAATTCTAACTCATCCCTTATATTGTTGCATAAATACTCTTAGCATATCTTGTAAGAAAATTAAATGAGAAAATTACTATACTTTTCACCCTTAATTATTCTCTCCCTTTCCCTTTCAATACTCAATTACTCAATTATTTTCACCAACCTATCTTATAGTTTTAAGTTCTAACATTATTGAAAGTAAAGTTCTTCTAGATTCCAAGAAAGTAAATGTTCAACTTTTTTTAACACGTTTAATGTGAGTTTGGAATATTAATTACAGTAATTAAAGGCTTGCAATGACAATGCATGCTTCATATTGTCTTTTAATCTGTTTTTAGCATATGATGCTGCCATGCTAGTTTTAACTGCTATGATGGAAGCTTAGTTAGAAAACACTCATCCCATTGTGATTCTTTATAAAAATATTATTGACAGTAATTTTGATATACTTATAAACAATTGGACTCAACAAAAATACAGTGATTACTAAAGAAGCAGTAATTGTATTTTGAACCTTGACAAGTTGACACATGACATATCTATCTCTGACATTTCGGGATCAAAGGCCTTTCTTGAAGCTCCAGCCAACCATTACTTTTATTTCTGGCAATGTACAACCAAACACAGTCTACTCTAATCTGTCCTGCTACAGCAGACACAATCAATTGCAATTGCTAGGTGTTGCAAATTGCATCATCTCAAATTTTAAATTAAAAAACAAAAAAGACAAAAACAAAATCCCAACCCAGATCCCAATTTCATGCATATAACATATAGGTTTATAGAGACAGACAAGAGAAGTGAAAGTAAGATTGTATCAGCTTTCTTCCCTGTAACACTGGCACGTTATAATTAAATTGAAAGGGAGAGGAGAGGTTAAAAAATGACAGGGAGATAATCCCTAAGTTATTTACCTTCCTTTATTTGTCTCATGTGAACACACCAGTAGTAGCAGGTTTCTCTGTACGGAACTGTATAGCTAGTTACACACTTCACTTTCTTTTGAAGCCAAATCAGTTTTACTGGTTTTTGAATTCATATTTTGGAGCTCATTTTAATTAGTTTTCAACTAACAGTCTTGAATATTTATTCTTAGTTTTACCCTATTTGTAAATGTGCTCACATATTAATTTTATGAATAACTTTAGATCTGTATTTAAAGACAGTGCAAAGCAAAATATAGCACAAAGATGGCAAAAACGGATCTGAATAGCTTGACATATCTATTTTGAAGGTTTAAGATCTATATTCTCTGTGTATTCGCTTCGTGCCGTTTTTTTTGGAACTTTTGTAGACGCTGACATTAATATAAATTTTATAGTGTTAATTTTTAAAATGTCGTGTCCGAAAGTCTATCCCGCCCACAATTTTTGCAAGACAGACTAAGGTTTTAGACATATATTCTTGTCTTTTTTTCAGATTTTTACAGACGGGTCTAAATGAAATAGAGATGTCCCTTTGCCATATATATATATATATATATATATATATATATATATATATATATATATATATATATATATATATATATATATATATATATATATATATATATTTTAAAATATTTATGATCACATAAAATATTTATTATTGTTAAATCAGAATTAAATAAAATCTCAGTTAATTTTGTTATAATTAAATTGTGACTAATATATATAGAGGCGTCTTTATACCTTCCAAACATTTTAATTATAAGAGAATTAAAGTTAAAGATGAGTTTAAATTTGAGAGTTTTAAGAGAATTAAAGTGAAAGATGAGTTTTTTTTTGGAGTGATTGAATTGAAAGTAGGTGAATAAAAAAGGAAAACAAAAACAGTGGTATTCATAAGTGTATGATCAAATAGGTCCCCTTTGAAGGTTGTTTGGGGGGCCAAACTGACATATGCCTTCCCCTTTTTCACGCTTTGTCCTTTCTTTTCCTTACTATCCTTCCTCATCCCGCTATTACTATACGGTCTCACCATTAAATACAAATTTGTTGCTCCCCAAAAGTGAAGTGTAGGAAAGAGAATTCTCACACTATCACTGTCTCTATCACTCTTCACAACTCTAAACCACGCTTCATTACCATTTTTTTCTCTCTTATATGGTACAGTGTACCTTACTTTGCAATCAAATTCCCTTAAACCTAGCTACTTAAACATGCTACAGGAACCTCTGACCTCTCACTATCTTCCTAGTGGTCCATCCCATTACCAAAAACACAGACAAGCTTTACTTATAGGCCAGCCTTTCTGAAGTTCAAGCGGGTGTGAAAGAAACAGATAGATCAATATTATGGATTGGAATGGAAACACAACAAGCTTTGTTCCTCAACATGCAGATTCTTCCTTAAGCTTTCTCTACAACTACAACTACAGCCAAACCTCATGTCAAGGTAACCCTAGCTAGCTACTCTTCTAAACCATTGCATAAGCATCTAATAACTTCTACCATGTAATTTAGTAACCCTAGATTTTCAACTTTGTTGACTAAATATATATACATATTCATGGTCCAAAGCTTAGGTCATTTCCATACAGCACCGATACTTCAGATTGAAGTGCGTTTGACTTGTGTCAATGTATGATACTTACATGTGTGGCTACATGCAATGCAACAACTTTTTTTCTTCAAATTTTCTTAAGTATCTACGTGTTATATCAATATTGCATAAGATAACGGTGATTCATATTTCATATATATATATATATATATATATATATATATATATATATATATATATATATATATATATATATATATATATATATATATATATATATATATATATATATATATATATATATATATATATATATATATATATATATATATATATAAAAGTTTATAACAAGAGTCTTGACATGCTAAACAAAACAATATTTATGTGTTTGTGAAGGAATGGAAGTGAAACAGCAAGAGTGGACAGAAGCATTTCCAGAAATGGACAGAATGATGAAATATGGTAACCAGGAAAAGAAAAAGAGATTAACTAGTGAACAGATGGAATCGCTTGAGAGTAGTTTTCAGATGGAGATAAAACTAGACCCTCACAGGAAGATGAAGCTTTCTAAGGAGTTAGGGCTTCAGCCTCGGCAAATTGCTATTTGGTTCCAAAACAGGCGCGCGAGGTGGAAGACAAAGCAACTTGAACACTTGTATGATTCACTTAAACACCAGTTTGAGGTTGTTTCCAAGGAAAAACAGCAGCTTCAGGATGAGGTAGGTTTATATACATCAGGTCTCCAAAAGCTTAAGACGACTCTGGTCACTGGTGTAAGTTTAAGTAGGTTAACAATATTCATGCATATTCTTATATGTAAAACTATGTTGTGTTGTGTTTAGGTTATGAAGTTGAAGGGAATGTTGAAAGAGCAAGGATGTTGTTCTGGCAGAATGCAAGGCTATTATACAGAAGTGTCAGTGGAAGAGACAGAAACAGTAGAAAGCACATCAGAGGGGAAGGGGAAGATTCATCATGAGTTCAAGATTGGAGAGGGAAACTGTTGTTTCAATTTAGAGGATTATAACATTCATAACAGTACAGTAGTGCCACTATTGCCTTACTGGCCTTCTGTTCCTTATAACTATCATTCCTGAATATGTTACTACTAATTGTGATGTTTGAATAAATGATGTATGTGAGTTTCTGAGCTTTAACTATTTGATTTGTTTTGTAGATTTGTAGTTTAGAATCGATGACAATTATTAGTATTACCGGATGGATGATTACTTAATTAATACTTTTTTGGGTTACTTTATTAACCCTTCTTTTTAAGTAGTTTATTGGCCAAAATCTACCGAAAAGAAAGTAATATGTTCTGGAAAAGACTATACTACCATTTTTAATGATTGGTCCAAATCTACTATTTGAGGGTATTTCTTTAAAATGGCTGATGATAGCATTTTGGTTCACTTGCAACCAATTCTACATTGCATTTGTTCCCCTATTGAATTCAAAAAAATTTTAAACCAAACTATCACTTCATACTTATTATATATTCAAAAAACAAACATCATGTAACAAAATGTTTTCTTCACGTAGTTTCATATCATATTTGCTTCTTCGGACCAAATTCTCCTCTCTCTTCATTTTTTCGGTTTTGCAACTTTTGTTATTCATTCTCTCATATATTTCCATTGCTTTCTCTGTTTTGTTATTCCTTATCTGATTGTTTCATATGTACAACCAAATCTGGAATTACATGGCAAGGCCATTTGAGAACATCAAGGACATTAACGGCACAAAGGAGATTTGGAAGATCGCTGTGAAAGTTCATCATAGATGGAATAGTTGTCTCTAACACAAAAGAGTACTTTGAGATATTATTGTCGACAAATACATAAGTTTATGATATTTCATATTCAACGTTGTTTCAAATTTTTTCCTAACTTACAAATGGGTTATGTTTTGTTTTTCTTCCACGAACTCTTTTTGAGTTTTCGATATTTTTTAGGGAATAAATTTGTTGTCGATAATATTCACGCAATTTTACTTATTTTAGGTTTTGATGATGATAATGGAACTACGTGATTTACTTGCCTGTAACAGGGTACTGATATCCATGTGGTCGTTCCGATATTGTATAGCAAGACTTTCGATTCACAGTTAGTTGTTAACAGTACTTGCATAATAGCTAACTTTCAGGTTCAACTTAATGAGTTGGTATTCAGACCTTCAAATCATAAGTTTTTCATAAAGTTCACTGGAGGAACCACGGTTGGTGACACAAACAAGCATATACTTCCGGAAAAAGTTATTAACTTCACTCCATTTTGTGATATTATAAATAGAAAATGGAAAAAAATATTCATTAATAGGTTTGACTTTTGTTTGACCAATAAACCTTTTTGTTTCTTTTCCTCACCAGCCTAACACCACGTCATCTTTATGTCAAATTTCTCATAAATTATAGGAATGGTGGACGAAATCGGGTACACACAAATCCATACCAGTGGCAAAAAACAACAGGTAAACATGGTTTTGCGGGACTTGGGGTAACTATGATCTTTACGAACCTATTTTTTAGCCATTATGATCTTATTTTTACTGACTAATTTGACTTCCTCTATTTGTAGCAACAACACAATCAATTGTACCCTCTGGAAAGCTTATGCGTCACAGTTCCCCAAATTCAATCAACAGAAAATTGATTCTTCCTCACCGACTATCATCTTACTCCAATACGCCAAAGTCAAAAAGAAAGATTTGCTATTCTTCGATTTGTATGTTGTAGTATGTTCGTTTATGTATTTTCTTTTTGATGATCTAATGCGCATAAAAATTATTGTCCATGTAGAAAAGTATCATCTTTCTGTATCTAACACTTAAAATGTTACAAAATTGTACATCAACAATGATATCGGACCAATTAATGACTTCATTAAAAGGTTCACTTCTTGACAACAACATTTAGTTTTACTTTCTTTACATACATTTCGCCAAATCCTATAAAATGTTATGTTTTATTTATTGAATTAGCATCCCTAAGGACACGTTGGTGAACCGATCCAGCCAGTTAAGTTTGCAGTCTCAAGTGTGGTCACAAAACTCATCCAGCTCTCAACTTACTCCTTACTAGAAGTTCATGTCAAAAGTCGTTGCCCTTCTTATATGTGAAATTAAGCAACTTAATGAAGTATTTATTTTTATTAATGACTCTTTCCCCTCTTCCTCACACATTTTTTCTATGACTGCAAAAATATATTCTTATGTTTAACTCTCAAACCATGGCTGCTCTGCAGATAACCTTCTGTATTACTGTTGCAGCAATTGATAAGCTCATTGCATCACAATACGGATGGTATTATCAGACATGTCATCAATGTCCTAAAGTAGTTAGGGGAGACAAACCTCAGTTTAAATGTGAAGTTGAACATTTAATAGAAGATGAAATTTTTAGGTTATATCTTTTGTCAAATGTTAATAAGAGCATATGGTATTCTCCCCGGTATACATGACTTTCATTACTACTTTCATATTTTCATCATTCACTAGGTACAAAATACAAATAGATGTGATTCACGTGGATTATTTTAATGTAATCGTTTTATTTTTTCAGGCATTTTCACTTTTGATTTTTATTTATTTTAATTCTTTTTATTTGTTTTTTTTAATGTAAAAAAAGACAAATAAATAATAATTTGATTTTTATTTATTTTATTTTTAAAAAATTGAATTGAATTTTATTTTATTCTTTTAAATCCATTTTTAATTCTAAAAATATCCAATGACTTTATTGGTATTTTGTTAAATTTATGAAGCTTTAAGAGCATAATTATCGATTAAATATAATTGTGTCTACACTTTTTTCAAAGTCATTGTGTCCGAAGAATTTGGATATTTAAGATGTAAAGATGTTTTTTAATAAACAAGTGTGGTCGCAGTAAATAACTTTCATACATGTAATTGACTCTTTTACATTTTATTTCTTAATTGAAAATAACTATTAAAACTCAAATGCAACCTATTTGAAAACAACAATTTTATTTTTTAAATTAAAATAAATAGGTTAAACAATCAATGTGATGTTTAATAGGACCCAATTTAAAGTTTTCTATGAGTTGTAGAAATATTTAAAAAATATAAATGAGTTGCTTAAATAATTGAAAAGTGTGAAAATAATATAAAACACATAATAGGGTCCATTTAAATAACTCAAATTGGTATAATGGATGTGAGGGTTCTAATGTGCTTATTAGTATGTTAATTTTTTAGAATTGGATCAAAATCATTAAGGGTCTCAAATAATATTCATCAATTAACTTGGATAGCTATCAACATCTATCTCTCTCATCCAATCAAAATAAAGATAAAAAGATAACCAAAAAAATGGGGGAGAAATCTCCTCCAATCAAAATAAAGATAAAAAGATAACCAAAAAATGGGGGAGAAATCTCCTCCAATCAAAATAAAGATAAAAAAATAACCAAAAAAATGGGGGAGAAATAACACTTTCGATATGGAGAGTTTATTTATTACGGGTCACTGTTTATTATCTCTCTCATTTATTGCATATTTCATGGATTCCTTCACAGATATCTGATCATGCTATACTGATTGGTATTATCTTTAATTGTTTCAAATTTTTCTTACTCAAGATTGATAATGTTTTACTCATACTTATTAATATTTTCCTTCTAATTCCCACTGCTTCTCTGGTGAAGGTTATGGTTGTCCTTTTTAGTTTCTGAAGATTCATCCTTGTGGGAAGTAGTGTAATCCGAGGTACTCTTATTTTTTTCGACCAATCTATATTATTTTTGTCCATAATCAACATTATTGTTCTGATTGGTACTATACTTTTTTCCTCCATAATCATCTTCATTTGTTCTTATGGGTACCTATATTTTTTTGCCCATAATCATGCCTATTTAATATTTTTAGAATACTTTGCAGGTTCCTATAGATATTATTCTTTTGTAAGTGCCTCAGATCTCATGGCAGAATTTAATAAGGATGCAAAGATCAGTGTATGATGGGATATAAAGAGATGTGTTATTATGAAAGGAGTCGAACCTGAACAAGTTGTGTCTGGAACCATTTCAATGCTAAAAGGAATCCATGTAACAGGTGATATATCAATAGACATCTATGAGAATATTAATCCAAAAGTAGTGTTTGGACTAAAAAAATCGTTAATTACCGTCAATAACATCTCTCCTAATCCTCTGGGTAAATAATTTATTTTTTATGTTTTTGTTTTTTTTTCTTTTAGTAATAATGTATTTTATATGTATAATAGATAAGAAAGTTAAAAAAAGATTGTGCTGACAATCTCATTATAACAAACATGTTTAAGTGGGCAATGCATAATTCCCCTCCCGCTAACCTCGTGTTAGTATCGGGCAATGGTGATTTTTCTTACGCCATTCACAGCCTGAGGGATCGTGGTTATTGTATTATTATAGTTAATCCTAAACAAGCAGTTAGATTATTAACAGCAGCTACGAACTCTGTTTTATCGTGGAATAAAATTCTATGCATTATTAAAAAACATATTGAAGAAGTTGGGATGGGGAAATGGAATTGTGCTACAAGCCAATTAACACATATCACAACCCCTAGGTACTATGAACCTAGTGAATACACAAAAGCACCGATTTTTATCGTGTGGGACCTGGATACATATTTGATTCTAGATGGTGTTAAGGAAAGGAATATAGCACGAAAGATAAAGCCTCATTGGTTGATAAGTATTTTCTATAGTCGGTTTCATAGCATTGTTATGGCAAAACCTTTTTAAAGGATTTAGATATTAATCAACGGTCGGACCTCGTCTCAACTTTCCTAACAACTCCAATGGAGTTTCAGGAAGATTCTGGTAAGTTATTTTAATTTGGGTTCAACATGTTTTCTCTGTGATTTATTATCTTAAATTTGATCAAATTTAGTTATTATTATAATTTTAATAGATAAGAAGGATACTGACAAGATCAGTTTACTTAAATTGTTTTTAAGCGTCGTTAGAAACAAGGCACCAGCAAATCATTTGGTTATTTCAGGGGACGCTGATTTATCGGAAGCCTTAGGAGAGTTGAAACTTAGGGGTCACTGTTTATTATCTCTCTCATCTATTGCATATTTCATTGATTCCTTCGGAGGTATCTGATCCTACTATACTGATTGATATCATCTTTAACTATTTAAAAAATTTCTTACTTACTCGAGATTGATAATTTTTTGCTCATTCTTAATAATATTTTCCTTCTAATTTCTACTGCTTCTCTCATGAAGATCATGGCTATCATTTTTAGTTCTTGATGATTCATCCTTGTGCCAAGTAGTGTACCCCGATGTACTCTTATTTTTGTTCGAATTAGTATCTATACTTTTTTGTCCATAATCATCCTGATTTATTATGATTTTTACTATACTGTTTTCCTCCATAATCATCTTCGTTTATTCTGATGGGTACTTATACTTTTTGCCCATAATCGTGCCTATTTAATCTTTTTAGAATATTTTGCAGGTTCCAGTAGTCACCTATATTATTCTTTTGTGAGTGCCTCAGATCTCATGGTTGAGTTTAATAAGGACGCAAGAACCAGTGTATGGTGGGATATAGAGAACTGTGGTATTCCGAAAGGAGCCAAACCTGAACAAGTTGCGTCGGGAATCATTTCAATGTTAAAAGGAACCCGTGTAACGGGTGATATATCAATAGACATATATGGGAATATTAATCCAAAAGTAGTGTTTGGACTCAAAAGTTCATTAATTATCGTCAATCTCATCCCTCCTAATCCTTTGGGTAAATAAATTATTTTTTATGTTTTTGTTTTTTGTTTATCTTTTAATAATAATAATGTGTTTTATATGTATAATAGATAAGAAAGTTAAAAAAGATTGTGCTGACAAACTCATTATAACAAACATGTTTAAGTGGGCCATGCATAATTCTCCGCCCACTAACCATGTGTTAATATCGGGCGATGGAGTTTTTCTTACACCTTTCACAACCTGAGGGGTCGTGGTTATTGTATTATTATAGTTAAGCCTAAACAAGCAGCTAGATTATTAACAGCACCTACAAACCTTGTTTTATCGTGGAATAAAATTCCACGTATTATTAAAAAACATATTTAAGAAGTTGGTATGAGGAAATGGAATTGTGTTACAAGTCAGTTAGCACATATCACAACCCCTAGGTACTATGAACCTAGTGAATACACAAAAGCATCAATTTTGATCGTGTGGGACCTGGGCACATGTCTGATTCCAGATGGTGTTAAGGAAAGGAATATAACATGGAAGATAAAGACCTTGCTGGTTGAGAAGAATTTTTTAGAGTCGATTTCATATCATTGTTATGGTAAAACATTTTTGAAGGATTTAGGTATTAATCAACATTTGGACCTCATCTCAAATTTCCTCATAACTACAATAGAGTTCCAGGAAGCCTCAAGTAAATTATTTTAATTTGGGTTCAACAGGTTTTCTCTATCATTTATTATCTTAAATTTAATTAAATCTAGTTATTATTATAATTTTAACAAATAAGAAGGATGCTAACATGATCAGTTTACTTATAAAAAATTTAAGAGTCATTAGAAACAAGGCACCAGCAAATTATTTGGTCATTTCAGGGGACGCTGATTTATCGAAAGCCTTGAGAGATTGAAACTTAGGGTCATTGTTCATTATCTCTCTCATCTATTTCATATTTCATTAATTCCTTCGGAGATATCTGATCCTGCTATACTGATTGGTATTATCTTTAACTATTTCAAAATTTTCTTAGTCGAGATTGATAATTTTTTGCTCATGCTTATTAATATTTGCCTTCAAATTCCCACTACTTCTCTTGTGAAGGTCATGGCTGACCTTTTTAGTTCCTGAAGATTCATCTTTGTGCCAAGTAGTGTCGCCCAAGGTACTCTTATTTTTGTTTGGAATGGTATCTATACATTTTTTGTCCATAATCATCTTTATTTGTTCTAATTGGTACTATACTTTTTTCCTTCATAATCATCTTCGTTTGTCCTGATGGATACCTATATTTTTTGCCCATAATTGTGCTTATTTAATCTATTCAGAATATTTTGCAGGTTTTGATAATCACCTATATTATTCTTTCGTGAGTGCCTCATATGTCATGGCTGAATTTAATAAGCACGCAAAAACCAGTGTATGGTGGGATATAGAGAACTGTGGTATTTCGAAAGGAGCCGAACCTGAACAAGTTGTGTCGGGAACCATTTCAATGCTTAAAGGAATCCATGTAACGAGTGATATATCAATAGACATCTATGGGAATATTAAATCCAAAATAGTGTCTGGACTCAAAAACTCATTAATTACCGTCAATCACATCCCTCCTAATCCTCTGGGTAAGTAAATTCTTTTTTATGTTTTTTTTATAATAATAATATGTTTTATATGTATAATAGATAATAAAAATAAAAAATACAGTGCTGACAAACTCATTATAACAAACATGTTTAAGTGGGCCATGCATAATTCCCTACCCGCTAACCTCGTGTTAGTATCGAGCGATGGTGATTTTTATTACACCATTCACAACCTGGGGGGTCATGGTTACTGTATTATTATAGTTAAGCCTAAACAAGCAGCTAAATTATTAACACTCTACGAACTTTGTTTTATCATGGAATAAAAATTCCACACATTATTAAAAAACATATTGAAGAAGCTGGGATGGAGAAATGGAATTGTGCTACAAGCCAGTTAGCACATATCACAAAAGCATCGATTTTTATCTTGTGGGACCTGGACACATGTTCGATTCCAAGTGGTGTTAAGGAAAGTGTTGTGAAAAATGATGTCTTGAAACAAAGTATAAACAGTTTCTTTATCGGCAAGAAACACGCAAGGGTTTGGGTTAACGGGAAAAACAAGAAGAAAAACAACAAGGATTGGTTATAACTGATATTCTTTACTTTCTTTTTAATCATATTACAAGTACTCAAGAATAACAAATAACCCTCTAACCCTAATTAGAATTTGCCACATTTAAGATGGGAGACTAGTATGCTACTTATTATAATACCTAACATACTAAACTAATGGGATTTTTAACAATTACCCATTGCAAGCTAACTTAGGGTACAAGCTAAATTAAAAAATTGGATCCTTAACACAAGGCCCAATTCGACTACTACATACTAGAACACATTTCGACTACAGCATGTAGGTCTTCGACAACAGCATGTGAGCAAACTTCGACGGCATGTTAAACCTCTGTCAACAATACTAGAATTCAATCCAATATCTCACAAATCTCCACCTTGGAACTAATTCTATAACATAAAGAAACTAACTTTCTTCATGCAGCTTTATCAAATTCATACATTGGAAAAACCTACAACTGGGCAATGTCTTGGTGATCATATCAGCAGCATTATGATATGTTGAAACCTTTAGCACTTGGACATCTCCACGCTCGATTACTCCTCTAAAAAAATGGAGTCTCGCATCAATGTGCTTGGTTTTCTCATGATAGGACGAATTCTTTGACAAGTGTATTGCACTTTAACTATCACATTTAACAGTGACAACTCGACCTTGAAGTTTTAGCTCCTTTGCAAAACCTCCAAGCCATAATGCTTCCTCCACAGCTTCACTTAGGGCGATATATTTTGCTTCAGTGGTTGATAAGGCAATAACCTTCAGAAGTGTTACTTTCCAACTAATTATTGTGCTAAACATAGTGCACACATATCCAAAAATAGATTTGCTAGAATCCATACAACCTGCATAATCAGAGTCAACATATCCTTCGATTGCTGCTTTACTATCTTTAGCCAAGGCTCCACCATAAATTAGGACTCTATTCAGAGACCCATTTATATACCTTAGAATTCACTTCAATGCTTTGCAGTTAGCATTTCCAAGATTCTCCATATACCTGCTTACAAAACCTACTGCATATGTTATGTTGGGTTTAGTACATACCATAACATACATCAAAGAACTCATTATATTAGCATATGGAATGTTATTCATATAAGCTCTTTCGACATCATTACTGGGATAATGATTTATACTCATCTTGAATTGAGGGTTTGTCGAAGTCACAACAAGCTTTGAATTTGACATACCAAACTTTTTGAGATTCTTCCGTAGGTATGCCTCTTGAGATAAGCATAATTTTGACTGCTTTATATCTCTTCGGATCTCAATCCCAAGAATCCTAGACGTAACTCCTAGATCTTTCATGTCGAACTCCTTATTGAGTTCAGCCTTCACCCTTATTACATCTTCGACATTGTTGCTTGCTATTAGAATATCATCCACATAAAGCAACAAAATAACAAATGAATTACCAGGTCGAAATATGAAGTAAACACAGTGGTCAAACTTACTTTTAATGAAACGTATGCGCGTCATGAACTTGTCGAATCTCTTATTCCACTATCAAGGAGATTTTTTCAGCCCATATAAATATCTCTTCATCTTGCACACATACTCCTCCTTCCCCCTTTCAACATACCCTCCAGGTTGCCTCATCAGGATTGTTTCATCTAGATCACCATACAAGAACGCAATCTTCAAATCCATATGTTCTAGTTCTAGGTCGAACTGTGCCACTGCGGCTAGCAACATTCAAATGGACCTATGCTTCACAACAGGATATAACACATCATTAAAGTTGACACCTTCTTTCTGAGTGAACCCCTTATCAACCAATCTTGTCTTGTATCTCTTCGATGCCACTCCTTCGTTTCCTTCCTTAACTTTGAAAATCCATTTACAGCTGACTAACCTGGCTCCTGTAGATTTCTTGATTAGTTCTCAGGTGTTTTTATCATGAAGAGATTTCATCTCATCATCCATAGGCTTCATCCATTCAGTCTTATTTTGACTCCTCATAACTTCCTTATAGTCTCTAGGTTCTTTGTTTAGAACCTCACTTACAGAGATTAAGGCATAAGCTATAAGATATGCATAACCAACTCTCTGAGGTGGCTTGATGACTCTCCTCGACTTATCTCTCGCCAATAGGTAGTCATCGACAGTTTCCTCATCTTCGACAGCACCTTCTATTTCTTCTTCGACTTCATCTGGGATAAGTAATTCAGCATCAACATGTTCCACCTCAACAGGAACCTCTCCCTGTTCCAGCTCTTCGTCAGCATCATCAGTTTTCTTAAAGGCCATCTCAACTTCATTGAAAACTACATCTCGATTGGTGATACACCTCCTATGACCTGGCTCTAGGCACCATAGCCTATAAGCTTTGACTTCTTCAGTGTATCCCATGAACATGCATTTCAGAGCTCTAGGTTCTACCTTGTCTTGCCTAATGTAAGCATAGGCCATGCAACCAAATACTCTATTTTTGTCGAGGATTGATGGATGTCCCGACCAAACTTCTTCATGTGTCTTCATATCTAACGCAATCGAAGGACATTTGTTTACCAGATATGTTGTTGTCGAAACAGCCTTAGCCCAAAACACCTTCTTTAACCCAGCATTAGTCAACATGCATATAACTCTTTTCAAAATAGTTCAATTAAACATTTCCTCCAAACCATTTTTTTGTGGAGTACCTACAGTAGTTTTGGGCCTTGCGATACTTGAGGCAACACAAAGGCTTTCGAAAGCCTCATTGCAAAATTCAAGGCCATTGTTGGTTCTCAACCTCTTGACCTTTCTACCAGTCTGATTTTCATCCAGAGTCTTCCGACCTTTGAAATTCTCAAAAGTTTCATCCTTAGTCTTCTAGATGAACACCCATAGCTTTATGGAATCATCATTGACTATGGATAAAAAATACCTTGCTCCTGAATATGATGGACACCTTGCAGGCCCCCAGAGATCATCATGGATGTAATTAATGGATCTATGAGTTCTTTCTTTGCCTTTGTTGAACTTCACTCTGCAAGTTTTTCCAAGTACACAGGGTTCACAAAATTTCAGCTTTTCGACTTTGTCTCCACCAAGCAAATTTTGTTTCCCCAATTCGACCAGACCCCTTTCACTGACATGGTTCAATCTCATGTGCCAAATTTATGTCTTCGACAAAGGTTTCGTGGATGCAACATTTGTCAAACCACTTACAACTTCAACCTCAAGGGTTACAAGCCTTGTTTCTTCACGCCTCTCAAGACTTCCTTCGACCTCTTCATGACTCTTAGGATACTTTTATCTCCTTAAAAAACATATCCCTTCCTATTGAATTCACCAAGAGAAATCAAATTTCTCTTCAAATTAGGTACATACCAGACTTCAGTCAATAACCTTATTGACTCATCATGGAGCTTGAATCTCATAGATCCAATACCTGCAATTTTGCAAGATTTTTTGTTTCCCAGCAGCACTGATACACCATCTTGATCGCATAGCTCCTTAAACAATTCTCTTTTAAGATTCATGTGCCAAGTGTAAACTGAATCCATAATCCACTCTTTTCTTGAGTCGTTGCTTGAAACCACAAGGACATCAGATGAGTCAAAGTCATCTTGAACAATGGTTGTGTTGCCATTATACGTACCTCCATGATCTTTCAGGCGCTCAAAGCACGCCTTTCTTGTGTTACCCTCCTTCTTACAGTGACAGTATTGAATACCATATGCCTTGCCACTATAAGACTTCTGCTGACTTTTACCTTTCTTCTTGTCGAACTTACCATCCTTTCACAATAATTTCCTCTAACGGCTAAAACTTCACCAAACGTCAAAGGTTTATGCTCCTTCCATTCATTCAAGTCCTTAGAATACAAGGTTGATTGAACTTCTTCAAATCTTAGAGACTCCCTTCCATACAGGAGAGTTTCTTTGAAGTGAGCATGTGTTCTGGGGAAAACGCATAACAGCAACAGTGCTTGATCTTCATCATCGATTTTTACATCAATATTTTCAAGATCAAGAATCAGCTTGTTGAACATATCCAACTACTCAGGAAACACTTTGTCTTCACTCATCTTGAATGAATATAAAGCTTGCTTTAGGTAGAGTCAATTCACCAGAGATTTGGTCATGTATAAACTTCTAAGTTTCAACCATAACCTCGATGTCGTACTCTACTTTGATACCTATCGGAGAACCTTATCACCAAGGCTCAACAATATTGGACTGTGGGCTTTCTCTATCATGGTCGTCTTTTCTTTTTCTGTTAACATAGTTTCCATGGTTGTCTCTCCCTTTAATGATTCCAAGCAACCCTGCTGAACCAGTAGGGCTTTCATCATCAAGCGCCACAGGCCAAAGTTATTCACTCCGGTGAACTTTTCAATCTCATACTTTGTTGAAGGCATCTTTCTCCATACTCACTGCACCAATTTGTTGTGAAAATAATGTCTTGAAACAAAGTATAAATGGTTTCTTTATTGGCAAGAAACACACAAGGGTTATGGTTAATAGGAAGAGCAAGAAGAAAAACAACAAGGATTGGTTATAACTATTCTTATTTACTTTCTCTTTTATCAGATTACAAGTACTCAAGAATAAAAAATAACCCTCTCACCCTAATTAGAATTTGCCACACTTAAGATGAGAGACTAGTATGTTATTTATAATAAAATTTAACATACTAAACTAATGGGTTTTTTAATAATTACCCATTACAGGATAACTTAGGGTACAAGCTAACTTAAACAATTGGATCCTTAACACAAGGCCAAATTCGACAACTATATACTAGAACACATCTCGA